GTAATACAAAATCACAAAAATACTGAAGTGTTTTTCCACACAAATAGCAAAAATGAAACATATACACCACACCTTTCCAAAGTTCATATTCATGGAGCTTATCGCCTTGTGATTTTTCTACAAACTTCATGGCTCCACAGATACAAATGTGTTTTTTTTTCTTCCGCTTACTTCTTTGACTGCCATAGACTTAACAAGAAGCATAACTTAATTAGGCATGACCACATACATGTAGCTTTCTTCAACTTAGGCTCAGGTCTTTGCTTGCCCCACTATGTGTTTGGTTTCCACATTGATCACCTACAGTGAGGACACCACTGCAGGTAGGTGCACATGACCACATACATGTAGCTTTCTTCAGCTTAGGCTCAGGTCTTTGCTTGCCGCACTATGTGTTTGGTTTCCACATTGACCACCTACAGTGAGAACACCACTGCAGGTAGGTGGGCAGGGTGGACAGAAATGGAATTTATTCTGTGTTTTTGTTGAAATGGAGTAAAGGGCTAGAAAGAGCTAAAAAGGCATTATGGGCTTCAAAGCTTTATGTGATTATTCTGTAGCTTGGCAACACAGTTTCACTGCCAGGAAGCAATGACGGGGTACAGATTGCAGCTGCCTTTTCCATCTCAGTGTTAACACTAGTCCCAAAGAAATCTCTGAGATGGGATTTATATTACCAGCCCAGGTGTCTACCACACTGGCACCTGAGGATTCGCAGCTGAGATTTATTTTGATTATAATTCTGAACTTTCCGAGTGGGTATCTTGGCTTGACACACTCAAGTGCTTGGCATCTGAAATAAGGGGTGCACACTTTCTGAGTTCAGATGCTGTTCTTGAGTAGACAAGAGCTCTGGAACCCTCAACTCTCTGCTGTGTGATTTATGATTCTGACTTTGGCTTGTTAGCACAGTGTGCTAAGGCTGCAGGAGGCTGAGGATTCGCAACTGAGATTTATTTTGATTATAATTCTGAACTTTCCAAGTGGGTGTCTTGGATGGAGACACTCAAGTGCTTGGTATTTGAAACTTTCTGAGTGCACACTTTCTGAGTTCAGATGCCCTTTCTGGCATCTAATCAGGACCAGATTCTCAAAGCACATAACCTCTTGCTAGATATGTGAGTATTACCAAGTTTATTTCCAACATACGAATAATAAGTGGACCCAAACAGAAAATCTAACTGATCCCTCTTTTTCTTTAGCTTAAGAGAAAGTTTGCATTTTTGAAATTCAGGACAATTCTGGAGATTTCATGTGGCAGGGATTGACATAATAATTTTATTCGTATCAGTAGGAAAATTTAAAGTATAATGTAATAAAGTGTAATGTATTTTAGGATTGAAATGTGGAATACATGTACTAATTCTATATTAATAGTATAATTTATCTGTTAAATGTGTGAATGTGCATGATACAAATATGAGCAACAGTTCAATATTTCAGGGTTTTCTTACATGCATATGGCATACTACATAAGGTACATTAAACATGTATGTTGTTTTATAATGGGAGAATATATGTTTTAGTGTACTTTCTTAAATAATACTATTTTTGCATAATGAGGTGCAGATACTTACTGGTAGCAGAGTGAAGTTTCAGTACCACCCCAGGCCTGTAGAGTGGTGTAGAAAATACTGTGGAAGATAATTCTGAAAGAAGGAAAGGAATATAACTTGTCCTGACATCTTCTTAACAGGAACCAATGAACAAATAAAATGGCTCATTAAAAAGTAGCAGAAGAAAAAATGCCGAAGTCACAGAGCACTAGTAAATGCATATATCGACACTGATGCATCTGTGTCCTGTTTCTATGTGTGTACATATTATCTACAATGAGAGACAGATTTATTATTTTCTATTTGAGAAGTGTGCCAACTGGCATGCTTTGTTATCACTCCTGATTTGTCTTACCTGGCTCTGTTTGCATCAATTTGGTTTTTTCTTGAGGAGGCACTGACTGTGTCCAAACTGCAGAGACTTCAGCTATGGGAACAGAAAGACACACGCTTCAAGTAATTGAGGATATTTGTTATTCATCTGTCCAGTGCCATGTCCCAACCCTCAACACAGTAGAGAGATTACCAGCCAAAGTTCCTCTCCCACTACTTCCAATGACATATAAAAATAGTAGGATGAAAAAGGAAGGATAAAACTGGTACTTTGTTAGATCTCAGAAAATCCATGGGCTCATGAAAGGCAATCAGGGATTTGAAGAAGATATGCTTAGTGGAGACCTAGAGAAGAAACTCTATATTGCTCTTTCTCAGGTCTGCTTGCTGGATTTGGAGTAAAATATGAGCAGAGACCTGGGTGGCTGAGTTGCATGTGTGGAAGAAGAGCTAGGACATAGAGGCACCTTTCCATGAAGGAAAGAAAAATGACAGGAAAGTCATTATTTTATTTTAACACTTTTGTAACAATGAAATCTCATCAGTTATGATGTGAGGGCCTTGAGGCACCCCTGAGTTTCGTTTGGCTGAAGGGGACACATTTGTGAAGATCTTGTTCCAGATTGGGGCTAGTGACTGATCCAACCCACATTTTGGGGCAGATTTGGAGGAATACCCCATCCTGGGGAGGGAAGTCCACGTCACCTGGTACCACACATCTCAGCTGTCTGCCCAGGGAGGCCTCCTTGTTGAGCAATGCCTGGTCCTTGTAGCACGTCCCTTGAACTGCCAATTACTAGGATTGGGTGGCAGATCATCATACAGGGATCCTTAGTACCCTGAGGGGCTCCCAGGCACCGCAGGTCAGAAATCACAGCAACAGGTTAACTTGTGGAAGAGGAACAAAGCCCTTTTCTGGATGATGGGACTTAGAATAAGAGGGTCTGTCAAGAAATCTCCTTCTCTATCTGCTGGGCCTTTGCAAGAAGAAGTCTTCTTGCAAAGGGGGGACCCAGTTTGACTGCACAAATTCAGGCACTTCTGTGGGTTGCTGAGTGGAGCGAAAAGCCCCTGACACTTCCAGGGTCTGTGAAGGACTGTGCAGGTGATAAACCATGTCTCCAACTGCACAACATGCCTTGGGGTGATCTCCTGCAGATGGTGGGAGCAATTAGAAGTGGAGAACTCTTCTCCCACTGCCCAGTAGCTTTGGAGCCCACTAATGTGTGGACAGCAGTGCAGAAATAATGCAGGAAGGGCTTGTCTGTGCAGTACTCACCGACTGGTACTGTGGCCGTGGCCTCCTTCACAGCTCCAGCCGTGCCCTGTGCTTTCCACACATCCCAGTTTTCCAGTGATTGAAACCCTGATCCTTTCACACCAGCTGTCTTGGGCCATGATGGGACTCTTGTAGGAGGGATTTCCTCCCCCTTAAGAGCAATTGGAATCCTCGTAGCTGTGGAGAAACAGAGGCACTGGCACTTGCAACATGCCCTGAGTGCCAGTGTCCCATGGCTAAGTGGCAATGCATGGTCACTCATGCTGTAGGACACAGAAATTCCTAAAATACACCCAGAGAATCCCCTCTGTTCCCTGGCTTTTTACAATAATTTTTCTAGCCTCCAATTATCCAGGGCATTAGCGGTCTCTTCTGCTCTTTTGGGCAAACTTTTATCTTAATCTCTGCTTGTAGCTCAACATTATAGTGTGTGTGCAGTAAATCTAAGCGGTCACTTGTCACATTGCCAGTCAAGGAGAATAAACGTTTAGGTGTGAGAATACTTGCGCACTTTTAGGTCTCCACGTATGTTCTGCAGATGCATCCATGATTTTGTTTGGGTCTTCCTGTAATTTCATAGAACTTGAAAAAATTGAATCTAGATCTTTAAGGTATGAGAAGATAAGGTTAGTACTCTCAGTATCCGTAGGATATTCAGTGTGATAAACCAGAAAGGAGTTGTATTTGGTAGCTGTTTCTTTTAAAAGTAACTAACTTGTCACCTTGGATTTGTTTTAAATAGGAGAGTAATGTTGAACATCTTTTGGCCTAGGTAAAATTGTTATTGATTTCACTGTTTTCCTGTTACAATCAAGCAATCAGAATGAGAAATATGGACCAGCTGCAATGAGATGTATTATTTGTAGCCTAGCTCAACCTGCCAAAGCAATTTAAGGTGGAAGAACCATGCAGCACACTGGATAACTATATTCAACCCCTTTCTGAATGTATCTTACATAAAAATAGGAAACTGTACCCACTGAGAGCTAAGGCATTTATTTTTTAAACCAAGAGCATTGTAACAGTCTCTCCTCCTCAGGTCTGAATTCCATAAAAATTATGACCCCATTAGAGAAGATGTTGTGGTTTGAGGTTCATGATCCAAAGGAACAAAAGATGGCATCTTCAGCTTCCAATTTTTATGTAATTTGTGTATCATCTGTCTTAAGTCTTAGTGGAGACATACTGGTCTACAAATATCACTTCTGCAGCTACTTTGGTTTTAAACTAAGGGGACTTTTAAGAGGGAAGTTTTGACTACAGCTCCAGGCTATGAAGAAGGATTGGAGCTTCACTAGGGTACTAGCTGTTCATCCAGTCTGCCCTCTTATTTCCAGGGCTTTCTAAGAAAAAAGGTCAAAGTACTAAGACTGAATCACATTTTCTGAGATGCTAGGTCACCAATATTTTCCAATAAAAGCAAAGGTTTCTGTCCATTTCCTCTAACATTTCCAACCCCCACATTTAATAATTCGAAGTTTGCGAACTTCACTTATTTTTCTGTGGTGAGTATGGAATAATACACAAAACACTGCATTAATTGAAAGTGCTGTCTGGACATGGTTTTCATTGCTGTTGCTATTTGCTTTTATTCATCAGGAGACACTTACCTATATCAGAAGATGTGTTGCTGGAAAATGTGTAATTAATAACAGGAAACTTGTCTAGCATCTCCCAAAAGTCAGACATATTTCTCCCTGTAAATACACATGCTTAAAAATATCACAGAGGTCTTTTATCTAATGTAAGGCATTAATGAGAACCATACAGCAATATTTTGGATGGATTTTTTTTACATTTACCTGTTTGGCCTGTCATCATGCAGATATAAATACAATCTGAATTGTTGCTCTGATTCGCTGTAAGGCAAACATATGTCAAACAGATGTTTGCTATCAGTTTTCATTATACAATATTATTTTAAGTAGAAGAAGACACAAACCCAAAATGATACAACTTCTACAACTGGCCAAAGACTTCCTTCAGGCATGATTTTGACAAAAACTTGATCCTTTGACAAAATGATGTCAAATAACTAACCAATGATACTTATAGAAATTTTAAATCTCTTGAACACAGAAATGTTTCTATATGTTTCTTCTGAACAGAAAAGATTGCATTGAGTAAAACCCACACTGTACTTTCTGAGAAACATTCTCATTTGTGAACAGGATGCATGACCAGAGATTTCAAAACGCTGAAGGAAGGCTGCACTATTTCATGAGAAGTTGTCTAGAAACTAGAGCCTATGCAGAAGCAATACTTCATATAAGGTAGCATGAAGTCTGAATGCTAATATTTCAAAGGGAAATATTCCTATTTTATTAAAATTCTACAAATTCTACACCTGGACAGATTTGGCAGCTGGGCAGTGAGAAACCTTATGAAGTTCAACAAGAGCAAGTCCTGTACCTGGAGAGGAATAATCCCATGCATCAGTACAGGCTAGGGACTGATCTTCTGGGCTTCCCAGTTCAAGAGGGACATGGAACTACTGGAGAGAGTCCAGCACAGGGCTATGAGGTTGATCGGGGCCTGGAACATCTACCCTATGAGGAGAGGCTGAGGGAGCTGGGCCTGTTCAGCCTGAAGAGAAGGCCGAGAGGGGATCTAATCAGTGTCTATAAGTACCTCAAGGGAGGGAGTGAGGAGGATGGGGCCAGCCCCTTTTCAACAGTGGCCAGTTATAGGACAAGAGGAAATGGCCACAAACTAAAGCACCAAAAGTTCCACAGGAACTTTTAAGGAAAAAATACTTGACGTTGAGGGTGACAGAGCCCTGGCACAGGCTGCCCAGAGAGGTTGTGGAGTCTCCTTCTCTGGAGATCTTCAAAACCCGCTTGAACGCAGTCCTGTGCTACATATTCTAGGTGTCCCTGCTGGAGCAGGGGGTTGGACTAGATGATCTCTAAAGGTCCCTTCTGACTTCAACCATTCTGTGATTCTATGAAATAATTTATTTTTTGAAAGGAAAAAAATATCAGAATTTATTGGCCAATATTAGTTTGGTGGCTTCATAATTTCAAAGAAGATCAGTATTCAAGAATAATTCATTAAACAAAATAAAGATGCTCATACAAACATGTATCCCTGACAAAAAATATTCATTTGTATAATATAAATGTAGATATATTCAGCTACGTATGTATGCATAATATGCATACTATATAGGTACTAATACATTGTATGTATGTATTCATGAATAGATTAGGCAAACAAGATAAACGGCAAGAAGAAATACAAACCTGAGAGAATAGAAGTAGACTTGAAAATTTCTGTGAGATAACTGGTGGAGTTTCCAAGAATATCGACAAGTAAAGCTGTAAAGTCTAGAAAACAACAGAGAAAGTTTATGATCCAAAATACATATTCCGCCATCTCTGCTAAGTCAAAAAATCGCTTTTTAATGAAATCATGTTTTGGATATATGTTTGTGCATGATATAGTGCAAAATATTTTAAAGTTAAGAATGTTTTTGCTGAACAGGAATGGACTTAGGAAGCTGCATGAACACTGAGGAAATATGAATGAAAGATAATATCCAAAAAATCACTGATGTGCAATTTCCACTGATCTAATCACCAAGATATTCTGTATTTGTGTCAAAAAGATTAGGTTATCTCTATCATGCTCTTACTGGGTCATTTTGTAGTAGGGCTGATAAGATGACTGGTTCCAAGAGAAGCCACGAAAGTCACTGATGCTTTATGAGATGGTCATCACGTGTAACTTAAAGAATATGGGGACTGTTCTCTAGCTGCTGAGCTGTTTATGATATCTTGCAAGAATCAATCATTAGTCTGGAGCACTCAGATTTATCCTGGCGTTGCAAATACTATGAGATCAGAGTGTGAGTGGGTATTAGGTGAAGGATTTACCAGCACTGCATTAGACAGCTCTGTGTAGCTATTAATCTTTATTTTTCATCCCTGCTGGACTCACTGAAAGTATTGGAGGCACTGGTGTAGAGAAACCTCTGTCTTTTTATGCTACCAGTAAGAATAAACTCTGCAGAACTGAGGCTACAGCTTTCAGCTCAACAGAAATAATTCAACTTAAGCACACGCAGTTGCCAACCTTTCTTTGGTACCCACCTGTCAAGTCATTTGTCATGTTGTTCAAGCAGTAGCACTGACGCATAGGGAACTTGCCAGGGTCAACATTTTTCAGGTTAGAAACTGTAGAAAGAGATGGAGGAAATGGGTATCTTGATGCATACTCTGTGCAGGAGAAAATGCTTCCATGCAGAGTAGAGTGATAAGGCACTCACTGTTATAAATGGTCACTGACACTTTGTGGAAGGCAAAAGAGCTGTAAGACGTAACACTCAGCAAAGAGAAGAAATTTTTGGAACCTGCAGAAACACATGCTCACTGATATTAGTGATTAGAACAAATTATATGAAAAGAATGTTTTGACTCTGCTCATTTTATTTCTAAAAAAAAAAATAATAATAAACCAACAAAAAAGCAGCTCTCCTGAGGAGCTGATATACAGCTGCTTGGGATTGTATTCTTTTTCATTTCCTCTGAGGGAAAGATCATTATCATTATTTTTTTAATTCCAGCAAGTTAACTTGTACTCATTACAAAGCACTTCTTAGAGACATCTCATAAATATTTATATTGTGTCTATATATAAACACACAATATTTTCAACAGTTTTTCAGGAAGAAAGCTTTCTGTATTGTAAGTGTGCAAGTGTAACTTGCACGGAGAGTTAATTTTCAAGGCTAACAGTGCTGTGTTTACAGCTTTTCCTGCAAACACCTTTAGTCCTTCAGCGAGGTCAGCTCACCCAGGGCTGCTTGGCTTTCCCATCATCAGCAACCTTACCCTTGAGAGTTGTGCCCAGCATGTTGTTCACCAGCTCGGTCAAGTTAAGAGCAGCCAGATCCACAGACTTCGCAGGCAGCTCTGGAAAAGAAGAGATGTCTCTGAGCAGCTGGCTGTGTGATGGGAGTGCTAGGAGAGAGCTATAAATCTTCTGCTTGTTTACGGCTTCAGGTGACAGAGGTGGATCTGTCTGACAAAAAGCCTCCGGAATGGGAAAATGAAGTGATGAGGTTGTGTATCAGGTCGCGCCAAAGGAAAAAACGTGGTGAGAAAATAAAATAGTCTGTGAATGCAGAGGGAAATCTGAAAAATAAGAAGTGGGCAGCATAAAGGTAGCCAACATTTAAGTACGGCCCTAAGTAGTCTGTCGCCTTTACCATGGCCAAGAGCAGGCTGCCAGAGAGCCTAATAAAGTCCTAACATTTGGTGCCCCCTCGTGCTGGACCATGTGTATTTACTTCAAAGAAAAGAATATTCAAGCTGTCTTTGAAGATCACAAGTAGATGTAGTGTCTGTCAATTCTCCTCCTATACCCAAGCTGTATAGAACTGGAGTTAAAATGGAGGTAATCCATCAAAATAATTTGCACCACCTTGATAGCCAGACTGCTACCAGAAAGAAGAATTAATCATAGTTGAATCACACTTTTATTTAAAAGATGCTTTCACAGTTTTCTTTTTATTACAGTTCCTTTTTGCTTTTCCCAAATCAAAATTTCCAAAGTTGCTCTTGCTTCCCTCCCACAAAGCAGTAAAAAAGTAGAGCACTGCGGTATTGGTGTGTGTAGGGAGGAAGGTCTGTATGTGCATGACACAGAGACACAGCACATTGCCACAAGGAAAGAAGCATAGAAAACCAAGATTGCAAAGAGCAAAGAGAGAGCTCCAAAGAGACACAGCACATTGCCACAAGGAAAAAGAAGCATAGAAAACCAAGATGAGAGCAAAATTGAATTGGGGGGAAAAATGCAGTTTTTCAGTGATGTCATTACTAATTTTAACCATTGATAAACGAAGCATGCTTTAAACTCCGTTCTGACAGGCAAAAAAGAAAATCATAGTCACCCTCATGAAGGTGCACAAAGCCAAGTACCCTGTAGCACATGCAGCCCTGCTCTCAGTGCTGCAGAAATCACCCAGGATTGGGAAGAATTTCTGGAAGGGGCCTGTACTTGTCACCAGCATGGAAAACAGGGAAGACAGGTAAAGGAAAACAGAAGGCCATGGAGAACTGGGAGGGAGTGCCAAGAAAGAGAGAAAACAACATTTTTGGTTTCCTGGGGGAATGGAGGTTATATTGAACAGGGATCTGGGCAATCCTGATGAGGTGCCTATGTCTAGGTGAGGAACCACATGAAGAGGTGTCTGAGCTCACAGGCCCTGCTGGAGAAGATCCACCTCTGTGGCTGTCACAGCACCTCTTGTGAGCTCCCACAGACCTGGTAAAGGGGTTCCTGGCCTGCGGTTCTTACCTGCAGTCGCTAGCACTGCCGTGTGCTTTTCTTTCTTGTGTTCTCTTCCTATGCCTGAAGCTGTGAAGAAAAAGAAGATTGAGGAAGTTTCACCTGTTGAGCTAGCAAGTAATCCCATCTGAGCTACTTTGCTGGTGTCATTCATTAAAACATTATACTCATTATATTCATTGTCTCAGAAGCTGATGGACATCGTCACTGCAAAACAGACCACAGAGTATGTGAAACAGCAGCTGATCAAGTACCTAAGAATAAGGATGCCTCAAAGAACTTGGCAGCTAAGGGAAGAAAGCAGATTAAACATCAGGCCCTAACTCAATCAAGAATCAAAAAGAGAACGATGGTGGCAAGCTCTTAGAGATGTCTGAACTGGGCTTGCAAACACCACTGACCATAAGACACATACTATAAACAGGTTAAAGCTAAAGGAATCACCACCAGTTACATGTATATTTGTTGTTCAGGGCATGCTTTTGATATAGAGTTGCTTCCTAGAACTTTGTTCTTGGGATGGGACTGGAGAGGGATTCAGGGAATTGGACGCACTTCCTGGGATTCCCTCTTGTAAAGGCAAGATGTGGAGCAGCAGTTTGGACCTCACAGGATGAGCTGAAGTACAAGAGGCTCCCTGTCCTGTCAGTGGAACTGGAAGGCTCCAAAGAGTAATCCAAAAGGCCAGAAGGCTCCCTAAATGAGCCAGCTCTAGGAAATGCTAGAGTCCCATGCTTCTCTGATGCTTGAGCCTCTCAGTCCATCCATCCTGTCCTGAGAGTAGGAGGCAAGGAAGACTCACAGCCGTGGTGGCAATGCCATATCTATGTTATAATTTAATGGGCACTGTGGCTACGGAAGCAATTGCAAAATAAATGTTTCTGTTATTTCCAGAAGAGAACCAGACCCGAATATTCAGCCTTACCTATACTCCAAACCAGAGAGAGACACAAAAATCCCATGCATATCTTCACTGGCACATGCCAGCAGCACCACTGCATTATGGACTCTGACTTCCTGTGGATCGGCTGCTCTAGGAGAAAGAAATGTGGTCATGGGAGAAACGCTTACTCTCCGTGATGCCGAGATAAAACAGGTGATGTGAACACCAAAGAATAACATTTGCTTATGTTCAGTTTCAAGGGAATATCAACCCAGCTCCTTTATTTACAGAGCTGTTGCCAAGCCAGCCGTTTCTAGTCTTGTAATTATTCTCACTAAGTCATGTGCCTATTGCCTTACCTGGTTGCTTGGGAAATGTTAACAATGCTCTGCATTTCAGAGAAGGAGATGCTTTCCATGTGCCAAAGATTTAATTGGAACAGGACAGAAAAAAAAAGAGAAAAAAAAAAAGTCCTTCCTATCTGAAGTGTTTCCTTCCATTTAGTTTGCAGTATCAGAAGATGCCAAATAGTTACGTAGCTGTCAGTTGAGGGAACAATATGAAAACTAGCAAAAGAGATCCACCTGTTTTCTACATGTCAATCATCTCCTCCCAGAATATATAATCATGTAAATGCACACAAAAAATATTATCTTGAAGATGATGCTGCTTTATTAATAAACTGTTATCTTCATACATAAAATCTTTCCTAAATTTAATTTAGTGGAGAATTAAGATATTCTGGACGTAGCTAATTTGTATTGAAGAGTTCCAAAGAGATTACTCTTTGAGATGACAAAATGATTCCAAGCATTTCTACATGGGAAATGTCTGTCTTTGTTCTGCCAATTCAGACACAGCTCTGAGAAGCTTTGTAAGTTCATCCTATCTACTCAGTACATCTGGCTACATCTGGCTAGGACTTTTAATAGCTTTTTCCATCAACCTGCATGCTCTCTAATTAGGGAGTGACTTTATGATGTTAAATGAGGCCTCCTAAGATACTAATATTATGGGAATAGGTATAAAAGTAATGCAGACTTCTGTGTTCATATAACTCTTTTCTTCTTTGGTTGAACTGTATGAAATGAGAGGGGCTAGTTAGAGACCCTCCCTAGCCATGCTAAATTTGAAGAATTGTCTTGGCTTTGCACAAGTGCCTATTGGCAGGGAGAGGGATCTCGTGTTTAGCTGGGAGTGTGGAACAGTGACTTGGGGAATAATATTAAGGATGAGTTTGCAACTGAGCAGGACGGTTACAGAGCAAGAGGCTGCAGGGCTTTGATGTATATAGTCAATGCAAGTGGGGAGCTGTTAGAATGTGGGACAGACTGGGGTCAACAGTGGGATGGCTTCCTCTATTTTTAATAGAGCTTCATGAATTTTCTGAATTTTATTCTTGTACAATGAGAAGTGACTGTTGCCTTAGGTCTGCTAGATCTGCTTCAGAATCAGTTGTGCGTTGCAATGATCTTTCAACATTTCTGAGTGGCAGATCTCCTGAACATGGACTTATTCATCTGCACGCAGTGTGTATGACCAGGCTGCATTGCTGGCGCTGCATAAAGTAAACGACAGTCCCACAATAATGTTACTGCTGCAGAAGGTGGCCTTGGCTGGAGGTTCCCTGTTGCCCAGACTGGCAAAAGAGCCCATGTCTCTGCCCTCCATGAGAATTTAAGCTGTATTGTGAAAGACAGACACAGACCTAGAGAGTAAAGAGTAAACAGCTGAAGAAACAGCAGGAGAAGTGGAAGTCTTAAAAAAAGGTGACAGTAGAGAGATATTTGGAGGGAAGAGAATAAACCAGCAGGTGTGAGGAGTAAAAGTGGCTTGGAAGTGACTGCTGGGCTGGGAGATGGAAGATGCATGGGGAGCATGGGTGTCACTGGTTTCCTTTTGGAGGGGGAGAGTGTCTCTGTGAAGCAGCCACCAAAGGGAGAGACTAGCACCACTGTCCTCAATATATTTGAGATAGTACTGTGGCAGCCTCTTGTTCTTTCTCTGCAGCCTAGTGGGTGTCAGGAGAGACCTCACATTAAAACATATTTGTTTAAAACAAATCAGTGGAGGAGCGGGAGTGGACCGGGACATTGAGGCTCCCTGGCCCACTTTCAGTCCAGCTTTACAAACTGGTGCTCAGTTCATGTGAGAGAGTGAGGAGACCTGATTTCCAAGCCATGCTTCAATGAGCACAAGCTCTCTGAGATCTCCAGCCCATCATGCTAGCCCCAACACAGAAATCCTTCACATTTGTAATAGGATTTCACAGACTGATAGGCAATTGCAGCTATTCAACAAATGTTCTCTCATAAAATAAATGATACACTGTAGATAATTTCCTAACAAGGATTCTGTAGATAAATTCCTAACAAGGATTTAGCTTAATTGCTAACTTATTCAAGATGACACAGAGCTGCTCAAGGTTGTGAGACAGTGAAAATAAATAGTCTGACAAAGGACTCAGTAGAGCACGTTGGAGTAGAGGGCAGAGAGAATGCATGTTCAAGAGATAAAACAGAGGTGATTGAGAGGAAGATTGAGCAACAGGAGAATTGTCTTTAAACACATTGAGAGACAGAGAGAGAGAAATAGGGGAAAAAAAGGAGCTAACAAAATAGCAATATAATTGAGAGGGGAGAAATACAAAGGTATGTTTGGAAGAATCCCATGGATGTGGAGAAGCACCTTCCTGCCCTCCTCAGTTTGCACATTCCTGCCTTCCTGCACTACCTGCTGACACACAGTTTTCATCCTCATTCCACATTGCTTTGAACATTTGCTTTTTAACACGCTTTGCTCTGAGTACCTGATTCATAGTATGGTCATTAATAGCATAGTCATAACATCCACTGTGGTCTGAGGAGTGATTAAACACTATGGAATCAATCAAGTGAAGCATCTAATGATTCTTACAACATGAAAACATAACCTGGTGAGATAAATCATAATAAGATAAATCCAATTGTATTTCCAGGAAAGAAATATTAGGTCATTTTGTATAGAATTAATGCAAGTTTCTACATTTATAGGAGCACATATTTTTCCTGAAATGCAAATTTAGCGCTGTTGCATCCTCTGGCCAATAAGAGATGCTTAAAAAGAAAGTATAGAGAAACTTTGATATTAATAGCACTGCTCTATCACATACTGCTCCTACCCTTCAAAGTTTAGCAACTGGCTTAAATTTGATGAATTGGCTTTTAGCTTCTTCTAAAATCTTTTTCTAGCTTTAACTTCTGGATGTTTCTGCAGTGCAGCTGAATTTTGAAGCTATCTGAAGATTATTCCTAGAGCCTGATATATCTTATCTGTTAGAAATGTATGAGTACTAATTCCTACCATAAACACCAGGTTTGCTTCACACTGACCTAATTTCTCTCTCTCAGGGACAAATCTTCATTACCTTGTAATTGTATCCTTTTTGTTTGCTAACACAAGTGACACTGTGCAAATATGAAACCCTCACTGTACTCAGACTTGAACTCATTAACAACTTCTATTTCAAAATATAAGCAGATTCATAGATGCTAAAGGAACAGGTGCTGCACAACTGTGAACAGACAGGTAGATAAATCCTTTTTTTTTTTTTAGTTTTTTTTTTTTCAGTTTCAGCAAATATTTGCTTTCCAAACATTTTTCTAATACAGGTTACAGGTCAGACTTTTATTTAAAAATACTGCTCATACATCTACTGGATATAGTAATCCCTCTCCTGTATTTATTTCAAAATGCTTGTTATTACTGATATTCATTTTACTTACTTACAATTGTTGGACCAGAGGTCCCCTAAAGCATTGAACTGGAGGTTATCATCTAATTAGATAGCCTTTATATATTCACTAAGATTTTTTGTTAAATATCTATTTATTATTCTAGGTTAATAGTAATATTCAACCAGCATGTTTATTAGCTCTGCTTCATTTCCACTCATTTTAATGTGTTAGATAACCATGTAGATTTTTTTTCATTTCTGCAGTATAAAGGGAGTGCAATCAGACCCCATTCCTCCCTCCCTCCCCCCCCATCTTCATGCTATGTGGAGGAGAACACAGGTTAAGTGACTAAAGAAATTAAAAAAGGAAGTCCTTAAGCAGTGATTTCCTTGTCTCTCTTCAGTTCCAAAATGTAAGAATCATCCCTCAGTCTTATGCACATCATAAAACACTAGGTATAAAGAAATATTCCAAGTAAGCATGAAAAGATGCCGGTGTTACTACTAGTCACTTGATTACTACTATCACTTTTAACTTTGTATTAATTTTCATGAGAATTTAAGGAATCATATATTAAAAATATTGTTTGCCACATTCCCACCAAGCATTAATTGCACAGTCAAATGGTTTCCTTCAAGTACACTTGAACCTGCAAGATTTGCAATAGCAAGTAATCTGTTAATATGAATTTACCTGATTTCTGCTGATGGAGATTATTGTCTTCAGAGATGATATAAAAGTTGAGGCTATCACTGGGTCCTCATGATCACTTAGTGAAAGACTTTGAGAGGACAGGCTTGTTAATCTTGCTTTAAAAAACTGGGGAAAACTGTTATCCTGATCCCAGAAGAAGCTAACTAAATGTAACACAATCATAAGCAAACAAAGTATCTGTTGAATCCCTAATAGAGTGGCTCTGTGGCTGCTCAGGTCAGGATAGGAAGCTACTTTTGGCAGTAATGACTTGATCTGACAAATAGAAAGCTCTTTTTTTTTTTTTTTTCTTTTTAAAGAGACAGCTTATTTTACTGTAATTATGCCAATGTCACCTTGGGTAGGAGAGATTAAGCCCCTTTGAAAACAATTTTCTCAGTCAGAGTTGAAACTTAAGTTTGAAACTTAAACATAGTTGAAAGAATGGATAAGAAACTTGACATATATCTTAGCTATAGAAAACTAGATGGAATGAAATAGCAGATATTATACAAAATTTCCTGGAACAGGGGTTAGGTGATAACAAAGCTGGAGAGAGCTGATGGTAACAATGACGTGATGCTGAGTGATGCTTGGCATTATATGAGAGATAATCGCTGTTTGAAGTAGTGGGCTAAATTCTGCCCCAGGATATGCTAGTGAGAGGCAAGTGATTCTTCTGAAATCAACGGATTTAGACCCAAGAAAATTTAAAGCAGATAATTATCTATTTGGTACTAT